GGATATACAAAATACTGGTTCAACTCCACAAAAAGAAAACATTCAACCCCATCAAAAATGGGGAGATGAAATGAATAGAAACTTTGACAAAGAAGAAATCCGAATGGCTAAAAGACACATGAGAAAATGTTGCACATCATTAATCATCAGGGAGATGCAGATCAAAACCACAATGAGGTATCACCTCACACCACAAAGACTGGCCCATATCCACAAGAACAAAAGCAACCGGTGCTGGCACGGATGTGGTGAGAAAGGGACACTCCTTCACTGTTGGTGGGAATGCCGACTGGTTCAGCCCTTCTGGAAAACAGTATGGGTGATTCTCAAAAAACTAGAAATTGAGCTCCCATTTGACACAGCAATACCACTCCTGGGAATATATCCCAGAGGGCAAAAATGTATAGCCAAAGTGACATCTGCAATTGTCTGTTTATTGCAGCACTCTTTACAATAGCCAGAATCTGGAAAAAACCTGAGTGCCCGAGAACAGATGACTGGTTGAAGAAACTCTGGCACATTTACACAATGGAGTACTATGTAGCTGTTAGAAAAGACGAAGTCATGAAGTTTACATACAAGTGGTACTACATGGAAAGTATCATGTTAAGCGAAATGACTCAGAAAGAAAGGGATAGACATAGAAAGATTGCATTCATCTGGGGAACATAAAGTAACAAAATAGGAAACTAACACCCAAGTATGGCAGAGATTAGTACCAGGAATTTTACTCAATGACCTGGAGGACAACCACACATGTTAGGGGAAGGGGGAGCTCAGAAAGAGAAGGGAACACCAAATAAAGGGTGTTGGGAGGATCCGCCCACGATGGGAGAGCATGCTGAGGGTAGACTGTCGACCAGCATGATTGCCACTCAATGCCTCTTTTGCAGACCATGGCACTCAAAGGAGAGAGAGGGAAATGCCCTGCCACAGAGGCAGGGTGGGATGGGGGCTGGGGGGGTGGGTGGGGATGCTGGGATCCGTGGTGGTGGGAAATGCGCATTGGTGGAGGGATGGGTGTTTGATCATTGTATAATCGAAACCCAAGCACAAAAATGTGTAAGTCTACAACTGTACCTCATGGTGCCTCACTATTAAAAAATATATATAAATATAAAAAAGATACAGTGATCATAATACAAAGACAATCTACAGAATGGGAAAGGATATTTACCCAATACCCATATGACAAGGGGTTGATATCAAGGATATACAAAGCACTGGTTGAACTCTACAAAAAGAAAACATCTAACCCGATCAAAAAATGGTGTGATGAAATGAACAGAAACTTTCCCAAAGAAGAATTCTGAATGGCTAAAAGGCACATGAGAAAATGCTCTACATCACTAATCATCAGGGAGATGCAGATCAAAACAACAATGAGATATCATCTCAAACCACAAAGACTGGCCCACATCCAAAATAACAAAAGCAACCGGTGTTGGTGTGTATGTGGAGAGAAAGGGACTCTCCTTCACTGCTGGTGGGAATGCCAACTGGTTCAGCCCTTTTGGAAAACAGTATGGATGATTCTCAAAAAAATTAGAAATTGAGCTCCCATTTGACCCAGCAATACCACTCCTGGGAATATATCCCAGAGAGTTGAAAAAGTACAGTCGAAATGACATCTGCACTTCTATGTTCATTGCTGCACTGTTCACAATAGCCAAAATCTGGAAAAAACCCAACTGCCCGAAAACAGATGACTGCTTAAAGAAACTTTGTTACATCCACACAATGGAATACTATGCAGCTGTTAGAAAAGATGAAGTCATGAAATTTACATACAAGTGGTACTACATGGAAAGTATCATGTTAAGCGAAATAAGTCAGAAAGAGAGGGACAGACATAGAAAGATTGCATTCATCTGGGGTATATAAAGTAACAAAATAGGAGACTAACACCCAAGAATAGCCGAGATAAGTACCAGGAGGTTCACTCCATGGCTTGGAGGCCAGCTGCACATGCTGGGGGGAAAGGCATCTCAGATAGAGAAGGGAGCACCAAATAAAGGGTGTTGGGAGGATCCTCCCAGGATGAGAGATGCATGCTGAAAGTGGACTATAGACCAAACAAGATTGCCCCTCAATGCCTCTTTTGCAAACCACAGCACATAAAAGGAGAGAGAAAACAAAAGGGAATGCCCTGCCACAGGGGTGGGGGGGATGGGGGTGGGAGGGATACTGGGAGCATTGGAGGTGGAGAATGGGCACTGGTGGAGGAATGGGTACTCAATCATTGTATAACTGAATCCCAAGCACAAAAATTTGTAAGTCTACAACTGTACCTCATGGTGTTTCACTAATACAATTTAAAAAAAAACATTAGCCTCTAGAGTACTTGGCTACTGTCCTATTCCCTCACATGCTTGGTGGTCAATAGAGCACCCAAATTCTCTATCCAGTTCATGACTGATAAATTGCATTCTTCATTCTTTCCTCTAAGATTTACAAATGGAAGTGAGTACACATGCAGGGTTTTAAAATCAACTCTATCCCAGGATGGTCACACTAATACAATTTATCCTGAGCTACTTTTGTTTATCAGCATATTCCCGCCAGCTCCATATTTCTATCTTTGGCAGTAATAGTTCCTCCTAGTGAGTTTGTATTAGAGGCAATTGATGAGGCGGGGATGTGATTCAGCAGTAAACCACATACCCTGCATGTGGGAGGTCCTGAACACTATCCCCAGTGCTGTCCCACCTTGCTGAGTGTATGCCCTGCATTAAAACCACAACTTCAAACCTTTGTCAGTTTCTGCCACTGTCTCTCCCATGTGACCTTCATACTTACTGACCAAAGAATTTGAGAACTTTTCCATACATCTAGAGGAGACCAAATATCATCAAACTCCTTTCCATAATATAGCACCAACTCATTATCAAGAAGAAATCTTGGTGAGCCACGTTTTAGAGAGACTAAAAAAATCAAGACCTCAGTAAAGTCATTGAGGATCACAAGTCTGTATTGATGTTGTGGGTTTTTTGTTTCTGCTCTTGTTTGGAGGGGTCACACCCTGGGCATTGCCAGTAATGCTGCTTGCAAGGCCAGTGCAGTACCCTACCTGTTCGTGTAGGGTAACCCCAATCTATATTGATCTTGAAATGTAAATATATTTGGAAAGGAAATTCTTTTTTTAAGCCTGTAGTTCAGGTTTTGAACCTAAAAATCATTTCAAAATTAGATTATTGGTTAATTTTGTTGTTGTTTGAGGGGGCACATAGTTCAACCGGCAAGCATGCTTTTGTTGCAATGTGGGAAGCCCGCTTCAACCCCAAGCACTGTGAGGAGTAACCCCTGAGCACAGAACAAGCTGTAGCTCCTGTTCACTGCTGGGGGATAGCCCAGTTCTTCCTCCACCTCTCCCATTTGCTTTAGTCTTGTGAGTTCTTAAACAATTGTTTGTATAACTTGAATGCACCTACAAATTCAGACAGATAAAGACTAGGAAAGAATTCTAATTCTCACAACTTTGGTTTCCATTTCCACAAACCAGCTCTTTCTTGCTGCTCTGGGCAGCACCCATGCACCTACAGAGGAGTACCTATCCAGCTCGCAACACAAGTAATAAGGAAGGGGTAGAGAGATTGTACAGCGGGTATAATGCTTTCCTTGCACGCGGCTGATCCGGGTTAGACGCCACTGCCGGCACTCCATAGGGTCCTGCAAACCCACCAGGAGTACCGCCGGGTGTGGCTCCAAAACAAGCACAGTAGCATGGTTCTCCAGTTCATGAATTTGCTCGAGCGGGTCCAGTAACGTCTCCATCGTGAGACTTGTTACTGTGTTTGGCATACTGTATACTACGTCAAGGGTAGCTGGCCAGGCTTTGTTGCGCGGGCGAGACACTCTCGGTAGCTTGCCGGGCTCTCCGAGAGGGGCGGAAGAACCGAACCCGGGTCTGCTGGCCTGGCTGCGTGCAAGGCAAATGCCCTTCCGCTGGTGCTATCGCTTCAGCCCTGTGCTATCGCTCCAAAATAAAACAAACAAAAAAGTAGTAAGGGGAACCGGAGAAATAGTAAAGCGGGTAAGGCATTTGCTTTGCAAGCGGCTGACCCAGGTTCAAACTGACATCCCGAACGCTACCCCTAGCACAACCAGAAGTGATCCATGAACAGACCCAAGAGTAATACCTGATCATCGTTGGATGTGGCCCCAAATCAAACAAACAAAAAACCAACAACAAAGAAACAAAAACGTAGTAAGAAAAGATGAATGTCCTATGTCGTGATACATACATAATTATATAATTCTTGTATAGAATGAATCAATGTACGCGTGAACGAGTTCTTGTTTTGGCTGGATTGGGCTTTCCCAGGATTCAATCTCTGTCCTACACACTGGCTACCTGTACCCGTCTCTGTGCGCTCCAGCTTCACTTCCTATTCAGTACTCTGTTCCAGGAACTAAAAAAGAGGCGTACTTCGGCTGCCAAAGAGCACGCCCACTAGCTTTGAAACAGGTCACCCAAGCGCTGTCGCAAAGTGGGCTTCTTTTATTTGTTTTTGGGCCACACCCGGCGACGCTCAGGGTTTACTCCTGGTTCCACGCTCAGAAATTACTCCTGGTGGGCTCGAGGGACCATAGGGGAGCTCTCACCCGGCTTCCCGGCTTGCAAAGCAAGCAATCTAAGTGCAGCCAATGTGAACGTGGGCAGCCCAGTGTCAGAACGGAAATTATAATTGCGCTGATCTGGTTCATTCATCCGCAAAGCGTAAAGTGCCCGGTAGCCCACTATCCTCCTCTTTGGCCGGTTCAACTCCAAGATGAATCCACGAAGGACGTTATTACCGCCAATCAGATTTTGACGGGCGCAGCCTTCCCCGGAACCTAAAGGACGAGCGGCTGCGGTTGCCCCGCCGGCTTCTTTATAGCGCTACACACAGCCTTTCTCCTCGGCCCGAGACCCGGCTGGGTCCGGGGAAGACATTCGCCGCCGTACCCGGAAATGTTTCCACGGTTTCCCGAGGTGCCAGGTAGTGGCGCGCCGCCGGATTTTGGAAGCCAAGGCAACCGACATCTTCCTGTGCTTGTGAGAGTGCGCTCTTCTTCCGCGGCTGGGGCGACCCAGCGGCTGGAATGTCACCGGTGTCTGGTTCGCGTAGCCCGGAAGGAGCCTCGGGCTCCAGTGGGAGGCGTCGCAGTCCGTCGAGGAGCCCGAAATCTAGCAAATATTGCCGCTCCCCGCGGGGCCACTACTCCAGCTCGCATTCTTGTTCTAGGTCTAGCGACCGGAATGGTCTCAGCCAGCAGCTGAGTAGCTTCAGCCAAGGGTCGCGGAACCAGTGCTACCGATCCCGCTCCCGGTCTCGTTCTCGGGAGCGTCCCTCGGCGCCGCGGGGTACCCCCTTCGCCTCGGCGTCTTCGTCCTATTATGGCGGATACTCGCGCCCCTACGGGAGCGACAAGCCGTGGCCAAGCCTCCTGGACAAGGAGAGGGAGGAGAGCCTGCGACAGAAGTGAGTGACAAAGGAGTCCCTTTCCCTCCAAGACCCTGTTTGCCTTCCGAGTCTGATTTACTCTTCACGCCGCTTCACGCGTTTCTTTCTCCGCCTGCCTTTCTCCCGTTTTCATCCCATCCCTCTACCTTTGGTTTTCATTCATCCTGGGTCACTGTACCGTGTCGTGGTCTCCCGCTGCCTCCCTCTGCCTCCTGTCATGTTAGCGGCCATAACCGAGACTCCCGATGTTCCAGAACTGTAACCTTTCACTTAGCTGTGCCCTTTGATCGCTCTTAATTGAGACCCCTGATGTCCGGGAACTGTAGCCTTTCAGTTAGCTGTGCCCTTTTATCGCTCGTGAGTGTGTTTTCATTTCCCACCATGCGGCCTCATGAAAAGAAATAGCTGTAGTTTATTAACCACACACTTGACAGTTGCCTAGCATTTTGTTCAGGCGCAAGCATTGCTTGTTGAACGGGGAGACAAGTTTGAGAACCTTCCAGGCTAAGTGGAAATGTTTTCTAGTCGAGTTGGGAAGGTTGAGAGGACAGGCTTGACATCTGTCGAATGGGAGGGAAACCTCTGAGACCAAGTAAGTCAGGGGCTGTAGAAAACCCGTCATCTGTTATGGTGGGAAAAGTCTTGTTAAATGGACTCAGTCTTGACCAGAAACAGTGAGGCTGTAGGATAGCAGTCCCCCAGTGAGTGTCGAGGTGGGAAAATGAATAGCTTAGGGGAAAGGGCAGAAAGCTGTCTTTTCTTGCCTTCCCTTAATGTTGTGTTTGGCATTGCTGTGAGGTCTAGGGCTCGCAGACTTGGTGATGGTACACATCCAGACTTTGAGGTGTGATGTTTTGGGGGCCACACACTGGTGGTCACACATTTGTTTCTGGTGCAATTGGGAGTTGCACACCAGAAGGGCCATGCCAGCAGTGCCTTTGGCAATCACACACAATAGTGTCAGCACTGGAGCTTGAAATCTTCCTCAGCATGTGAAGCAGGCACTTGAGCTTCATCCCTTAGTTCTATGGTTAATGTCAACTAGTTTGTCTCTGTTTTGTTTGTCAATTTTGTATTCTATTTTGCAGCTGACCTTGGTTTGATTCCTCCGCCCCTCTCGGTAGCTTCCCGGGCTCTACCGAGAGATACTACTGAGAGTATCCCGCCCGCAAGGCAAAGTCTGGCAAGCTACCCCTGGTGTATTCGATATGCTAAAAACAGTAACAAGTCTCACAGTAGAGATGTTACTGGTGCCCTCTCGAGCAAATCGATGAACGAGAGGACAGTGCTACAGTGCTATTTTTGCTTTTTCAAGTGGAGGCGCGCCCATGGCAGTGTTCAGGGCTTACACTCAGCTCAGTGCTTAGAGATCATTTCAGGTGGGGCTCAGGAGACCCTGTGTGGCCCAAAACACAGTCATCCACAAGAAAGACAAGCACCTTCTCTGCTATACCATCTCTGACACCGCAGTTTTATATTCTTAGATTGCATGCATAGGTGAAACCATCCAGTTCTTGCTTCCCGTTTGTTGCAATCAGCCTAGGTCCCTGAGTTCCTTCTGTTTATGTTGCAGACGGTGATTTTCCATCCTTTTCTAAATAGCTGAATAGAATCCTTTTGTCTGAGTGTACCAAATCTTTATCCAGTCATCCAGGTGTGGTGCTTTGGTTTCTTTCATATTTGAGCAATTATAAATAATGTGGCAGTAAGCACTAGAGTGTGTTTGATCTGGGGGTGTTCATATAGTGATGTTTTTAGAATATTTGCCCCAAAGTGGGATTGCTCAATCAGATGGTACCGCTCTATAGCAGCTTTGTATTTTTCAGAATGGTTGTCACAGCTTACATTCTCACCAACAGCGTAGAAGCATTCATTTTTCTCCACACTTCTCCCATGCTTGTTGTTGTAATTCATTTTCACAGGTATGAGATGTTACCTCATTGTGGCCTTTGCATGTCTTTAATGTTCAGTGATGATGAGCATTTTTCATAGGCTTATTTGCCTTCTGTATACCTCTTTTATGAGTTGTTTTTCTCCTAAATCTTTGGCTCATTTCTTAATTGGGATATCCTTTGCTTATTGTGCTTGTGTGTATGTGTGTTTGTGGGGGGGGGGGTGCGCCAGGATTTGAACCCAAGGACTTACACATGCAAGTTAAGAACTCTACCACTGAGCTACATCCCCGGCTCCACTGTTCATTTTTTGGAGGTGATGGTGGGCAAGTGCTTGGGAACACTATATGGTACTGGGGATCTAACCAGGATGAGCCACTTACAAGGCAAGTGCCTAAATCCCTATATCATCTCTTTGATCCTGGGTTATTTTTGGTTGTTGTTAAATTACCTAAATTGTTTATGTACTGTTCATATTAGCCCCCATGAGATGTATGCTGCACAAGTACTTTCCATTCAGCATGAAAGAACAACAAGACTATCAGTTTTGAAATCACTTATATATATAGAAAAGACTTCTTTCTGGAATTATGCATGCCTGTCTCCATGAAAAGTGAGATTATCACTAAGAGTTTTCATATTTTGATGGTGTCAGGGAGGTAGAAACGTAAAAATTTATATTTTGATAAGAAATATTTGCCTAGGATCCAGAAAGATAGTGCAGGGGTTAAGGCGCATGCATGTGTGGGTTCTAGGTTCAAGCATCACACATGCACACACGCAACGATTTTTATTTTTCTTAGAATTTTAATTTTCATTTCTTAGAAACTTTATATTATATAGTGAAAGACCAGAGAGAGACACACACACACACACAGAGAGAGAGAGAGAGAGAGAGAGAGAGAGAGAGAGAGAGCGAGAGCAGTGGGCAGAGCACTTGCTTTGCATGTGGCTAGCCTTGATTTGATCCCTGGGATCCCATAGAAACCCCAAGCGCTACCAGGAGTGATAACTGAGATTAGAGCCAAAAGTAAGCCCTGAGCACCCCTGAGCATGGCACAAACATCAAGAATCTTGTTTATAACCTGCATAAAGGGTCTAATAAAAGGCCTATTTATTAGAACTTTTATACAAATCAGTAATGAATTAACCACTTAAAGTGGCAAAGGCTTCAAAAACAGTATAAAATGTTTCATGGGGCAAATAAAACATAGGTTGTTAAAAATCTAGTCTAGGTTTACTACTGACGGGATGTTGTTCTGTAAAACTTCTTGAAATTTGGAAGAATCTGAAGAGAAAATGCTTAGTCTGTTCACTTGTTTGTTCTTTCACTCTTTCTGTCTCTCGATCATTCTGTCTTGATTTCTTTCTTTCCTTATTTATTATTTATTTTTGGGCCACATCCAGTGATGCTCAGGGGTTACTCCTGGCTCTGCACTCAGGAATTACTCCTGGTGGTACTTGGGGGACCATATGGAATTTTGTGGATCTAACCGAGGCCAGCTTGCCTTACCTGCTACACAGTTGTTCTGACCCTTACTTTTTTTATTTGGGGGCCACAATCATAAGTTCTTAGGTGGTACTCCTAGGTTTGTGCTGGGTGTAGGATGGGATGGGTTAGTCTGTGGGGTGCAGGGATCTAACCCTGGTCTCCTGTGTGGGAAGCGTGGTCTTACCCTATTATACTATCTCTCCATCCCAAATTCTTGAAAGGTTTAGTAAATATCCCTGGTAAGCCATCTGGTCTAGGGCTTTTGTAGTGGGATAGTTTCAGTCTCCATACTATGTATGGAGATACATACCATACGGAGATACAATATCCAAAATTTTATCCATTTCTCAATTATCAAAATTTTCACATGTAATTCACAGCATCCTCTTAGTGTCTTTGGCATTTCTTAGATATGTTTAATAAGCCTCTGTAGGGACTGGTGAGATTGTACAGCTAATAGGGTGCTTGCCTTGCATATAGCCAACCCAGGTTCAATCTCCTGTGACCTATATGATCTCCTGAGCAACACCAGGAGTAAGCCATGTGCACCAATAGGTATGGCCCCAAAACAAAAATTATTCTCTTTAATTTTTGATTTTTTAGTAGTGTTTTCTTTCTTCATAAACCTTGTTCAAGGTTTACTGATTTTATCTTTCTTAAAGAAAAAAACTGCTCTTAATGTCATTGATATTCCATTTTGGTTTAATTCAGTTTGGTTTCTATTTTGTTTATGTTTCCTCTGCTTTTTAAAAATATTTTCTTGGGGCTGGTGTGATAGTACAGTGGGTACGGCATTTTTGCCTTGTATGCAGCCAACCCTTGCTTGATCCCGAGCATCCCATATGGTCTCCCAAGTACTGCCAGGAGTGATTTCTGAGCACAGACCTAGGAGTAATTTCTGATAATTGCTGGAGCGTGGCCCCCAAAATAAACAAATAAAATTATTTTTTTCTTCTGCTAGCTTTTGCTTGTATCTGATGTTCTTTTCCAGTTGTTTGAGTTATAAGGTTAACTATCTTGTATGTGCTTTTTCTTGCTGCTTTATGAAGTCTGTTAACTATTGACTTTATTGCTATTAATTTCCCTCTTCGTAGACTTATGCTACATTCCATAAATTTTGGTAAACTTGTGTTTTCATTTTCATTTCTCTCCAGATATTTGTAAATTTCTGCCTTAATTTTCTCAATGATTACTGAAAAGTGAGTTGCTTTAGTCTGTTGAAACTTCTTGGGATAAAATTCTCATTCATGAGTTAATGACACAAATAATTGATGGTAAGAGTACAGATTACAGATAAAGCCAAGCTGACAGCTACAATGGGATCTTGACTACATAGTCTTTACAGTGCATTAAGCACCCTCCCCCATTTCTGTATATTGCAAGTTCAGTGATAAAGTATAACCCCTGTTAAATGGCTTATTCCTTTCAGTGGGAAACTTGAGACTGACCCTTCCTAAATGTATTACCCTCTCCCCCTAAATAAAGAAGTAAAAATTAATTGATCCAAAGAAGCAGACCCATTATATTTTTCTTTAAGGGTTTGTATTTTTTTATATTAGTCTTCTTTTGGGAGGGGGGACCACACCCAGCAGTGTTTGGAGGACATACCTTGTTTGGTGCTCAGGAATGACCACTGGCAGCGCAGAGAACTGTATGTGGTGCTAGAGATTTAAACTGGGGTCAGTGGGATGCAAGGCAAGCATCTTAACCCTAGCCCTACCTCTCTGGTTCCCATTTTGCTTTTATAATTTTATGGTTTTTTTTTTAATCATTGCCTACTGTCTGAACCCATCAGATATGGTGTGGTAATTATGGAAAATGGGTAAGGAGTGTCTTATGGGTAGGGAATGGAAAATGGGTAGGGAATATGCCTGGCAAGCTACCTGTGGCATATTCGTTATGCCAAAAACAGTAACAATAACGGGTCTCATTCCCCTGACCCTGAAAGAGCCTCCCAATATGACAGCATTGGGAAAGACAAGTAAGGAGAGGCTACTAAAATCTCAGGGCTGGGACGAATGGAGACATTACTGGCGCCCACTCAAGTAAATTGATGAACAATGGGATGACAGTGATACAGTGGAAATTATAGTTTAGATGACATGATTACAATATAGTTAGCATGTATGAGTATTGATGTACATAGTTCCTGTGACCCACACCCACCAAAGTTCCCATGACCTATGGAAACAGAGGCAACTAAACTTGAGGAATTTAGCCTTAATGTTCTGTAGTTTGTATGTTTGAAAATAGCAGCATAGATTAGAGAAGACATCATAATCAAGCCAGAAAAAAAATTAGTGTCCTGGGGGCTGGAGTGACAGTACAGTGGGTAAGATACTGTGTGCGCTATCAAGCCTGTTTGATCCTCGGCATCCCATATGGTTCCTCAAGCCCACCAGGAGAGATCCCGGGGAATCAGGAGTAAGCTCTTTGCACAGCTAGGTGTAGCCTAAAACCAAAATAAGTAAATACCAAAGTGTTAAATTGTTTTCTGTCACTTGTAGAAGATCAGATAAACAGGTAGTGTGTGTCAAATGAGATGTGCCTGACAGCTTCCCAGGCTGTATTACTAACTGACTGACTGTAATCTGCACCAGTGAACAAGATGAGCAGAACATCAGATCTCACAATGGATTTTCATTTCAACCAAGTTTTTATTAAAGTTTCTAAATGTCACATATTTTCTATGGTCATACCACCCCAAGGGGCTCAATCTCATTAAAATGCCATATATTTATCTCATATGTTTATGAAAATGACTTTTGATATGGAGACAGCGTTAACATGCGTATATCTTCTAGGAGATTAAGTGAAAGAGAGAGAATTGGAGAATTGGGAGCTCCTGAAGTATGGGGACTTTCTCCAAAGAATCCGGATCCAGAGTAAGTGTTTAAGAATTATTTTCTCAGTAATCTAGTTTAAATCCAAATGTCAGAGGTCACAGCTTTTGTTAAGTGGAAAACTCAGTACTGCTCACTTTTCTTTCCTTCTTCCTTGTGATTTATGTTACTCTACCCTTTAGATTTTACAAGCATTGACCATATCTAAGAACTAAAACCTCTTGCTAGTGGGTGATGCTAATAATTTGCGTGCAAATTATTCTCTTTAAAATGTAACTCATGGGGTGTTAATTTCCTACCTAGACAACCTGTTAAGTATGTATTACTACTATTATTATTGGAGCGATAGCACAGCGGATAGGATGTTTGCCTTGCATGAGGTCGACCCGGGTTTGATTCCTCCGTCCCTCTCAGAGAGCCCGGCAAGCTACTGACAGTATCCCGCCCACACGGCAGAGCCTGGCAAACTCCCCGTGGCGTATTTGACATGCCAAAAACAATAACAAGCCTCACAATGGAGACGTTACTGGTGCCTGCTCGAGCAAATTGATGAACAATGGGAGGACAGTGCTATAGTGCTATTTTAATTACATTATTTGGATTTGTTTTTTATTCAGCCTAACAACAGTTTGAATGTTATATATGTTTGCATGAAGTAATATATGATTATACTAGTATGGTTTTTTATTGAGATTTCCTGTGTCTAGTACTCTTAAGGGTTAGGGTTTCTTCCTTTTCCAAACTTATTTTCTCTTTTGGTGCTACTCATAATTTTATTCTTCCCTCTCTGTTTCTGAAACTATTTTAGGTTGGGTTGAGACAGTGTTCTTGACAGGTAAATACTGTTATTGCGACAGGCAGATAAGGCATTATAACCAGAAACTAAACTCACAAAGAATTTGAATTTAAATAATAGAGTCAGAAGGGTCCCTAAAACAAATTACTGGGTACCACCTAAATTATTCCAGTTGTACTCTTCAAAGAAAAAGATTTTCTGCTACAGGAATTCCCTGTCTCAAGTACTGTAGACATTTAATAATTTCTCATTTTTGAAAAATTATCTGCAACAGAATGATGTTTCCTTACAGTGTAGTGTGTTTGGTTCTTGCTCCAGAGAGACAAAGCAGTCCCTACTGTGTCATAAGTCCATTGCATACGCACAGTAAAATGATGAAGTCTTACCTCAGCCTTCTTACCTCCTATTTCTTTTCTCTGGTTTTGGGTTGGTAGCTTCTTCCAAAAATACCAAGTTTGCATGCTGATTTTGGTGAATTTTTTTAAAGTAACAAATACATTTTTAATTGATCTACAGGTTAAAAACTCCTTCGCAGAAGCCAGTAATCTGCTTCAGTCCCCTAATCTACAGTCGGAAAACTTGGTTATCTGGTTATTTTCAATATTGCGCTTCACCCACAGCATTAGAAAAAACAGACTTTTATAAAAGTCGAGATGAAATGTGTGGCTGGTAGGCAAATCCAGTCCTTACATTCTGTATTTTGCCCTTTAGCTCTTCAATGTTTTCAGCGTACACTTTCATGGCACTGTCCTTTGAGCTCATTTCAGGCATCCCACTTGGCCTTCGCTTTTAAGTCCAACATCTCAGGCCGTTCTATACCTGTGTCACCCACAGTTGCTTGCTTGTAGCAACTATAGATGGATGGCATCTCTTTTTCTGCAGTCTTGGTCTTGAGGTTCTTAACATCCTAGCAGATTTGTCACACTCAGCCTGAGACATGCCAGTGAATTCTCAGGGATTCCAGGTCGATGGCAGAGGCAACAACTGGACAGAGCAGAACAGCAGGAGCACCAAACCTGAAATGGTTTTTTGGTGAATTGCCATGTGTACATGTGTGTCTTTTGGGGGGTGAATTTCAAAGTGTGCGTGTGTGTGTATTTCCTCACAGTAACACACAATTCTGCATGCTTGAAAATTTAACTCAGTTCTGACACACCCTTGCCATCTTATTTCACAGGTGAAGGACACAGGCACCAGGACCTCTCTCCACTTCAGAAGCAAGTTGCGAGCACAGGCTGTTACCTGTGCTTCTGCCAAACTGTCCTTAAACCAGAGATGTCCAATTGGAATGATTTGTTATAACAGCTCATAAAACTCAGCAGCACATTCATTCCCTAGGTCACTTGTTTGCTATGAAAGGAGAGAAGTCAGTAACAGCCAGATCGAAGAGATGTTTAGGGAAGTGTGTGGAGACCGGACATAGAAGGTCTTGGCTTTTCTCCAAAAGCAGGCCCCTCTTTCCCAGCTCCTCTCTATGTTCCTCAGAGCAGCTCTCCAAATCCTGTCCTTTTGAATTTGTATGGAGCCTTCCTGTGCAGATGATGGAGTAACTCATTGTTATTGGGGATTGATTAAACCTCTAGCTCCCTTCCCAGAGCATGGGGTGGAAGGTGGAACCAAAAGTTCTTACTCTTCTCATCAACTAGTTGGATCAACCTGAGTTCCTTTCTAGAAGTCTCGTTGACAAATTTTAGCTCTCCAGTCTTTTGAAAATACCAAGGGTTTGAGATGACACTCTTCCAGAAGCAGGGATGCTGACCAATTATATATGTCTCTGTGAATAACAAGATTACAGTTGGGCATTATAAATGATTGTTACTTTAAGTGGGGGCTCCTAGGACTGTACTCTTTGCCTGGGTATTGGGGGTTGCCAATACTAGGGGGCTGTGCAGTGTCAGGATTGAACCTGTAGCCCCTTCATTGTTCATGAACATTTTGTTACTAAAAATTTGAAGGCTGTATTTTGGGGAGGGGAATTTGAAGAGGGGTGAAACTAGCAGTGCAGGGATCATTCCTGACAGTGCTCAGAGGACCATACATGGTGCTTGGCTTGGTGTTGGGGATCTAACCCAGGTCACATGCAAGGCAAGCGCCATATTCACTGTGCTCTCTCTGGCCCCTGTGGACTCTGTTTTGTAGTTTGTTGTTCATGTTTCCATCATTTTTCTGATTCTTTCAGCTCTGATGAACATACTCCTGTAGAGGATGAAGAGCCGAAGAAGAGTACTACTTCTGGTTCTTCTTCAGAAGGTATTTTGTTTATGGGCCCCATCCAGTGGTACTCAGGGCTTACTCCTGGCTTAGTGCTCAGGGATCATTTCTTCCCAGGCTTGAAGGGCCATATGGGATTAAAAAGCTCAAACATGGGTCAGCTACATGCAAGGCAAGTGCCTTATCTGCTGGGCTGTCTGGCCCACCAGCATATATTTTTTAAATGCAACCCTCTTTTATTGGGAAGTTTATTATTGAACAGTTTGTAAACAGTTAAACCTTAGATGTTGTTACCTTTACTCAAGTTTTCCTACCCTCTCTTTGTGCCTTTTTAAATGCAATTAATGGGGCTCTCAGAAATAGGTGGTTTTAGAAGTTCTCTATGTGTATCTTCTGTAGAAGAGAAGAAGAAGAAGAAAAAGAAAAAGGCTGGCCGTTCCAAGGAAAGGACCAAGAAAAGACAGAAGAAAAAGCCGAAAAGAAAACACAAGAAGTATTCCGATGACAGTGACAGTGACTCCGAATCCGAAACAGACTCCAGTGGTAAGCAAGCCCGTGTGGCTCTGCCAGCCTCACTCCCCAGACAGTTAACTTTGGGGAGCTCCCCTTAGAGGAAGGCATATTGCACTAGCCAGGGGCTTATGCAGCACCCATGAACACTGTGCCAGACCTGCAGTTAAATGCTTGGTACTCAGAGTAGCTTTAGGATTCACATGGTACCTGTCTGGAAGCACGGAGCAGGCTCCAAGAGGCACTCTCAGAGGCTTGCCATGAAGAACTGCAGCTAAGTCACACAATATCAGATTGGTTGTGTGTAGTTATAATTGTATCAGACAAAGTAGGGTTGAGCAGCGAGAAGTGGGGCTCCAGGCCAAGTGGTCCTGGGCTGTATCAGCTCAGTGGAATGACTCCTCTAGGTGACTTTCAAAACTGATGGGCACCTCTGTGCAGTTTTCTTCTTTTTTGTGTGGGGGAGGGGCACACCTGGTGATGCTCAGGGGTTGCTCCTGGCCCAGCACTCAGGAGTCACTCCTGGCAGTGCTCAGGACCATATGGGATGCTGGGGGTCGAACTGGCATTGGCTGCATGCAAGACAAATGCCCTACCCACTTTACTATCGTTCTAGCCTCCTAATTTTCTTCTTTTTTACATTTATTTTTTTTATTATTGAATCACTGTAAGATACAGTTACAAGGTTTCATGTTTGAGTTTCAATCATACAATGATCAAACACCCATTTTCTTCTTTTTGTAATGAACTATTTTTTTAATTTTGGCACCATGATTTATAAATATGTCCATAATAGAATTTTAGGCTCACAGTATTTCAATAACAATCCCATTCCCAGTGTCAGCTTCCTTCCACCAGTGTCCCCAGGGTCCCTCAGCCTTCCTCTGTAGGAAGATAATTCTTTTTTTGTTTGGGGGCCACATCCAACAATGCTAAGAACCATATTTGCCTCATATGCAGGATCTTTGCTGAGATGTTTAAAGCATTCAGACAGGTAGCGTGTGAAGAGCCAAGCCAGTTTATTGATGAGTACTGACAGCTGGTTCTTCAGGTATTCGGGTCTGACCTTGTCTGGGCCAGGTGCTGTTCACTTCTTTACTGACGAAATGGTGTGTCAGATTTCAGAAGGGAGAATGTTGGGAACGACATATCCATCCTGTGGAATTTGGTATGTGGACAGGTGGACGTGGCTATCGAAGAGATCTGAGTATAAGTCATGGATAATCTCCATTGCCCTTCTGGAAGATGTGATAGATCCATCAGGACGTCGGAGGGCAGTCATTTTGGTCTTGTAGTTGGCGAAGGACAGATGGTCGTTATGAATGCTTTTCCTGGCTTCTGCTGCATCTACCAGCACTTCTGCTCTTCTCTCTTTGAGGTCTTCCTTGATCGCGTCTCTGCACTGCTTTGCGAGCTCGGACATTCGCTTGCGAATAAGTGCATAATAAGCGAGTAAGCTCACAATAAGCAAATAAGCTCATAATAAGTGAATAAACTCAAGAGTTTTTGAAGACAGGCGTTTTTTGTGGCTGTCTCTCTCTTGGCGTTCCTAGCACAATCATGGAGGCGCTGAACCAGTCAATCGTATTCCTCGTCAATGTTGTCAACAATGGCATCTTCCCATGTTGGAGCAATAGTGCCAAAGAGCTCCCAGTTGGTGGTCGTTCTGGGAGTTCTCTTCTTAAACTTTGCAGCCCTTTCTCCCCGCTCCATAAAGTAGAATTTTGCACGAAGGAGACGGTGGTCCGATCCCATTTTGAATTTTGGGATAACAGTGACATCGGTCAGGCAAAGCTGTTGATTGAATATGATGTGGTCAGTTTTGTTGTGGAACTATCATCATACTTGGATGTTGGTGCGTAGACAACGAAGATAGAAACTGCCGACAGTGACCCACATCTATTGAAGTCTAACCATCCTATTTTGGTTGTTATACATTTGAATGAATGAATGCTCATGGCCAAGTTTGTGTTGACAAGGACACCGACACCACCGACGCCTCTTTTGTCGCATGTTCTGAGGAATAGTTCTTCTCCAGTGTCAAAAATGGCATGATATGATTGATGCCTTTTCGTCTCAGTCAGACCAATGATGTTGTGCTTGATCTTTTTTGCTTGCACCATGAGGTCCTCTATGGATGCATCCAATGCCAGCGTACGTGCATTGAAAGTACAGACAGTTATTTTTGTCCTTCGTTTTGGCAGCCTAGTTTGGCCTTGAGATTTTATCAGCCTCTGCTTCCTCATCCTTCTTAATGCTGCCGTATTGGTGACTCTTTCAGGGTCAGGGGAATGAGACCCATTCTATCTACTGGTTTTGGCATATCGAACACGCCACGGATAGCTTGTCAGGCTCTGCCATGCGGGTGATATACTCTCGGTAGCTTGCTGGGCTCTTCGAGAGGGATGGAGGCTTTTAGGGCGGCCTCTAATTGCCCTTGCAGGTGTTCCCATGGTTCAAACCATATTTGAACCCCATCAAATATGGTGCGGTAATATTGAAAGTGGAATATGGATGTTACCATGGATGGCCCGGAGTGTGGCGGCGGCTGGGTAGTGGAGGTAGTGGAGGTCTGCTGATAAGGTATTTATCTGGTACCGGTAGGATGGGGCTTCTGTGTGTAATCCCTAGGTCACCAGAGATTGGTGGAAGCAGGCAGCGCAGGGTAGGGTGAGGCTTCTGGGTTTAATCCCTGGGTCCAGAGGTTGGTAGGAACAGGCAGGGGATCTCTATTCCTAGGTCCCATTGAGCCTGGAGTCCAAGGTCACAGAGTTCCGCTTACCTGGTTCTGTAGGGCATCACTCGTGTGTGAGTCTTGGCCCGAGTATCTGGAAAGCTTCCTGGAGATGAAGGACAATGATGCGAGAAAGCCAGATTCCGAAAAGGATTCAGCACGATCGACCATATTTACACGGTAACCAAACTCATTGAGGTTTCTCGGGAGTTCAAGATGCCCCTCTGTCTAACATTCATTGATTTAAAGAAGGCCTTTGATTCTTTTGAGACTGAAGTGGTCATCAAAGCCCTAGCCAGACGGCGTTTAAACTCAGTACATCAGGATCCTCCGTGATCTGTATAAAGGATTCACAACCAGGATCTCACCATTCTAAAAGGAAGTGATCATCGACGTCAAGAGAGGGGTTCAGCAGGCTGATACCATTTCACCGAAACTCTTCAGTGCCACCCTCGAGAACGTCATGCGACGACTGGAATGGGAAGGAGTGGGAGTGAAGATAGATGGTTGGCAACTACACCACCTCCACTTTGCTGATGACATCATTCTAATAACACCAAACATTAGCCAAGTGGCACAAATGGTGGCCAACTTCAACCGTGAGTGTGGAAAGGTTGGACTGCAGCTGAATCTCACGAAGACAATGTTTATGAGAAACGGTCTCGTTTCTGACGTTCCATTTGCTCTCAACGGAATGAATATCTACGAATGCAACAGTTATGTGTACCTAGGTCGAGAAGTCAGCATGATGAATGACCTGTCACCTGAGTTGCGCAGGAGGAAGAGAGCGACTTGGAACGCCTTCAAGAGCATCGAAGAAATAGCTAAGAGGATGAAGAACCTCCAGCTCTGGACACATCTCTTCAATTCCATCGTTCTTCCTGCATTAACATATGCCTCAGAGACCTGGGCCCTACGAAAACAGTATGAGAATGCTATTCAGGTCTCCCAAAGAGGAATTGAAAGAGCTATGCTTGGAGTATCACGCTTCACTCAAGTGAGAAAGAGAATCTGGAGTTCCGACCTCCATCGACGATCAAAGAATCAGGGATGCTGTCTCATTTGCCAAGCCGTCGAGATGGGCTGGACACATAATGCGATTTGGAGACAACTGCTGGACTAGAGCCATTACCGACTGGATTCCACAGGACGTCAATAGATCTCATGGCTGCCCACCTACAAGATAGTCAGACTTCTTCATCAAGACCCTAAACAATTGGTTTGAGGCTCTTCGTGTTCTAGATCGAGCAGACACCTTTGGGCGAAACTAGCACACGGCAGGGACAAATGGAGATGTTACTGGTGCCCGCTCTAGCAAATGATGAATATCAGGATGTCAAGTGATCAAGTTTAAAGCAAATCATTAATATCACACTGACACCCTAAATATTTCTGTATATATTTCTAAGTCATAAGGACATTTTTTGACTTAATCACCATCTCATAATACAAAATTAATAGTAAGAATACTTTGTGTAACCAAATATTTAGCATAACTTTAATTTTGGTATATCCAAGAACCACGTGAATTTTCTGACAAGTAGAAATAAATGTTCAAATGAATAAATTTCTGTTATAACAAATAGGTGTGTAACAAGATATTTACTTTAAAAAAAACTGGATATTTTAACATTAATTTTTTGGCTTATGGGGTCATACTCGGCAATGCTCAGGAGTTACTCCTGGCTCTGCACTCAGGAATTACTCCTGGCGATGCTCAGGGGATCATATGGAACCCCAGTTGACCACATGCAAGACAAACGCCCTACCTACTATGCTATCACTATGTCCCCTTAACATTATTTTTTTTTGCTTTTTTTTTAAATTTTGTTTTGGGGCCACACCCAGTGATGGTCAGGGGTTACTCCTGGCTCTGCTGCTCTCAAGAATCACTCCTGGCAGTGCTCAGGGGCCATATGGGAGGCTGGGGGTTGAACCTGGGTTGACTGGGTACAAGGCAAGCACCCTCTCCTCTATATTATCTCTGCAGCCCCTACCATTGTTTTTGGGTTTTGTTCCATACCTGGTGGTGCTCATGGCATACTCCTGGCTCTGTGCTTAGGTTCACTCCTGGCAGGCTCGGGGACCACATGGGGTGCCAGGTATTGAACTCGGGTCAGCTGCATGCAAACATGCTTCTTACCTGCTCTATTTTCACTCCAGTCCCTTAACATTAATTTTTTTAATTGGCCTGTTTTTACCTTCCAGATGAAGATGCCAAAAGGAGAGCCAAGAAAGGCAAGAAAAAGGATAAGAAGAAGAAACACAAATCGTCAGTATTTTTCCAATTAAAAAATGATTTGCAATTGCTGGATGTCTCTAACCCATCTTTATCCCCATTTCTTTGATATTTGCTTGTTGTAAAAACAAACTGTCTTAGTTCCTTCTTGTGGATTTTGCTTATTGTAATTATAGGTTTCCTTTTAACATACTCTGTCCTCTGTGTTTCCCACAGAGATCCATAGTTAGGTCTGAGAACTTGACAAAATTCTGATTGAAGTTTTAGTAGTAATACTTTAGTGGCGACTCAGTTTGTGTCTATCAGAAGGCAAATACTATTTTGAATATCTCTTTTTGTGATGTTATCAGCCATTGATGCTTTTTTTGTGGGGGGCGACGTTGAAAGTGCTCAGAGATCACTCCTGGCAGGGCTCAGAAGATCCTATGTGGCGCTGGGGATCAAACTCAGGTTGGCTGTTTGCAAGGCAAACACCCTGCCACTATGCTATTTCTCCGACCCCCTTGATATTTCTGGACTGGGTTTCTTAATCTTACTTAGTTCATTGGGAATTGTGTAATGCTGGTCATCTAATTCTGACCTTCTTTCTTGATCAAGTAGAGAGAAGAATTAATGAAATGAACCCTCATTAGCTGTTGAGTTATCCTGAAGTACAGTTTGCAAAGGAATGGGAGGAATGTGGCCAATTTTGTTGTATGAGTTTTCAAAATGAGTTGGATTCTGAATCTTAAGATTCAGATAGATTTGTTATCTTTTAATCCATTACACTTAAAACTTTTGTTTCTTTGTTTTTGGGCTATACACAGTGTTCTCAGGCTTTGCATTCTGGAATTCTCAAGGCAGGCCCTGGGGTGCCATAGATCCAACCCAGGTCACATGCAGGTTAAGTGCCCTATCAGTTGTACGATTTCTCTGGCCCCCAACACTTTAAACTATTAACATTCAGCTAAGTAAGAACTTTTTAAAGTTACTTTATTTCTGTTATTGTTCTGTAACATGGGAACTATATTTCATTTTTTCTTTATAGTGAAAGGTGATATGGTTAAATAAATCTGATGACTTTTCAGTTAAAACTCTTCTCAGGCTAAAGCAATAGTACAGCCAGCAGGTAGGATGCTTTCCCTGCACATGACTGACCTGAGTATGATCCTCAGATAGTTCCCGGGCACCTCCATGAGTGATCCCTGAGCACAAAGTCAGAAGTCAGTCCTGGGTATGACCAAATAAACCCCAAAAAACTCTCTTCTCTAGGATAAAAGAAAGAATATTCTTTTTTAGGGGCCAGAGAGATAATCCAGGGGTTAAGGCACTTGCCTTGCATGCAGCCAATCTTGGTTTGATCTCCTACACTGTGAGACACCCAGAGCACTGCCCTGAGCACGGAGCCAGGAGTAGCTCCAGATCACTGGTAGGTGATCCCAAACTACCCCACCCAAAGGAAAGGAAAAAAACCTTTTTATAATAGCCAGGGAGATCGCCCAAAGGACTGACTACATGATTTACATACAGGAGTCCCAGATGTAATCTTAGTACTACAAATTCCCCAGAGCAGTGTGCACAGTATTGGAAGAGGTTCCTGAGTACCACTGGGTATGAATCAAAACCAAACAGGCAAAAGTTTCTTCTCCAAAATGTCTGAATAAGGAGCAGGAGTGATATGACAGTTGGGGTAGGGCATTTGCCTTTCAGGAAGCTGACTCAGGTTCAATCAACATTGCATATGGTCTCTGATTTCATCAAGAGTGATCTCTGAGCACAAATCCAGGAATAAGCCCTGAGCACCAGCAGGTGTGGCCCTAAAACCAGGGGAAAAACAGTAAAAAATCTGAATAAGCCAAGAATTCAAATCATTTGGCTCCTGGTATGAACCCAAACAAACCCAAAATCTCTTCTCTAAAAAGTCTTGAGTAAGCTGAGAATTCAAATAATTTTATTTTATTTTGCTTTTTGGGTTACACCCAGCGATGCACAATGGTCACTCCTGGCTCTGAACTCAGGAATTACACATGGGATGCTGGGAATCGAACCTTGGTCAGCCACGTTTAAGGCAAATGCCCTACCTGCTGTGCTATTGCTCCAGCCCCTCAAATAATTTTAATCTGCTTTATTTGGGGGGGAAAATACACCCTTCATAATGGGGATCTTTATATCAAATTATGATTATTACAGGAAGAAGTACAAAAAGAAAAGATCTAAGAAGAACAGAAAGAATTCCAGTAACTTAAGCTCAAAAGAGACCCACGAAGAGTTGATAGAGAATCCTTGGAAGGACCGGTCAAGTAGGTGCTTCTGATAAGACTTTGACTCAGTGGATTGAAGGGATATCAAAGATATCAGGGCCACATGTAATCACAGTTTGATCTTTAGTGCCGTGTGCCCATCCCCAGAATTGCCAGGTATAGCCCTGCCCACCCACCGTCAGCAATGGAAGTCTGGAACACCACTGCATCCTTGGACCCCAGCACTGAACCCGCCAGCCCTTTTGGCCGAGTATCACTAGGAGTAGCCTGTGGATCCCCCCATTCCAGCACTGCCTGAAGGCCAGAAATTATTATTTGTTTGGGTACCACAGCCAGCTGTGGCTATACACTCAGGAATCATTCCTGGCGTTGCTTGGGGATCCAGTGTGGTGATGGGGGTTGAACCCAAATCAGCTGTATAGAAGGCAAGCATGCTTCCTGATGTACTATCTTTCTGGCCCCCAAACAAATTTAAAACAGACTTGATTCAGAGTAGAAAAAATGTAACTGAGTAGTCAAGACATAAACATTTTTCTATACCTCTTTCATGCAGAGCCTGAAGAACCCTCAGATTTAATTGGCCCAGAGGCTCCAAAAACACTTACCTCTCAAGATGATAAACCTTTGAAGTAAGTAACAGTGAGTTTGCAATATAAAATATTTCCGAAGTATGACCCTACCATACTTTCCCAAGTTTTTCTTCCTTTGTTCCCTTATTTCTTCTACCTCAGATTCCCACTGAGTTGAACTGAAACATCCTTGTATTTACTGTATTCCTTCCCGCTTTTGTGCCTGGTCAGTTATTTCTTTCCCCCAACGTGCTGCCTCTTCCCAGCTCAGTTTTCTTCTGTAACCCTCATTTCTCCCCATTAAAATCCTGATCATTCTTTTAGGCCCTTATTCCAGAAGAGAGGTTATGTTCTGAGTTCAGACACCTTTTTTACTGTGGGAAGCAAGACAGTGTTTAGTTTTATTTATTTTACAAGTTAGGTTTTGAAAAGCAAGCCAGATACCTTCTTTCTATAGTGAAATAATGATTCCTGCTCTTCTTGAGTCTTTTAGTTCTCACCATGTTTTTAATTTTGTATGGTGTATTGTATAATCCTGTATATTCTTTTAAATCCCACAAGAGATGAATTTTTGTATTAAAACCCTTGCCTTTAATATGTATTCAGATTGCATTCATTGAATTGAATGAAGACATAGTAGTTTTTAAGTTTCCCTGAATGCAAGTTAATAGACAGTTGTTACAATAGAGCATTATGGTTATAAGTCTGAGAAATATTTGATATATAGGATTTCTTTTTTTCTTTTTTTTCAGGGGGCAGGGGAATTGGCCGGAGGCAGAAGATTCAATAAAATTTAAATTAAAAAAAAAGAATAAAGTTAGGATCTTTAGTAGTAAATTTATCCGCAGTCATAGACTAGGAATCTGTATACTCACTAACATCAGTTCTTTTGCTCTTCCAAAATATCTTGCATTTTAGGGTTAATTATATAGGTCATAATGTAGAAACCACTTGTTAAAGGAATTTTCGTTTGTCTTTCCAGCACTTGCCTCTTAGAAACTATTCTGAGGCAAACTAAGTTTTTGTGCTTTCTTTAGAGGAATGGATTGTTATGACAGATTTTTGGACTTCTGTATCACTTTGCAGCTATGGCCATGCTCTCTTACCTGGTGAAGGTGCAGCGATGGCTGAATATGTTAAAGCTGGAAAACGTATCCCACGCAGAGGTGAAATCGGCTTGACAAGTGAAGAAATTGCATCGTTTGAATGCTCAGGTTATGTAATGAGTGGTAGCAGGTATGTTCTCAATATAGCTGTCACTTTCCATAGTGCAAACTAGTTCCAGTTTCACTACCAGAAACAGTTACATTTGATGATTAGTTTTCATTTCATGAAATGGTGAAAATGTCACGAGTTCTTATCTCGTGAATTGTCATTAATTTCCATTATGAACAAATTGTAAATATTGCTTTAATGCTGATATTATTGGTTATAGTATGGTTGTCTAAAATTGTAAGTGTATACACAACTCAGTCTGAACTTCAAAGAATCCGTCTTTCAGTATCCTTTGTATATTTTGGAATACAGATAGTTTATTCTCTGGAGGATATGTTAATTTCAGCAGTTTTTCACTGCCCATAAAGAATATGCCATCCTGTGCCAGAGAGGTAGTACAGGGGTTAAGGCGCTAGCGTTGCACACCACCAACCCCCAGTTTGATCCTCACACAGCCTATAGTCCCCTAGTCATGCCCAAGAGTAATCCCAGAGCACAGAACCAGGAATGAACCCTGAGTGCCACTGGGTGAGTCCCAAACACTCACCTCCCCCACCCCGCCACAAAAGACTATCGAATTCTGAAAAACATTCTCACTGGAGCTGGAGCAGTAGTACAGCAGGTAGGGTATTTGCCTTTCATGTGGGTTTGATCCCCAGCATCCCATATGGTCCCCTGAGCATTTACCAAAACAAAAAAAAGTTGAAAACATTCTCATGAGGCATTGTCTGTTTATCTCTGAGTTTGCTTCCAGTTCTTTAGAGTAAAAAAACCTAGACTTTTGCGGGCCAGAAAGATAGTACACTGGGCAGGGGATAGGGCATTTGCTTTGCATGTGGATAATCTTGGTTTGATCCGGGCATCTATTATGATACCCCAAGCACTTCCTGGAGTAATTTTGGAGTATAAAGTGAGGTGTAACCCCTGAGCATCACCAGGTGTGACCAAAAGAAGAAAAAAAAGAAAACAAAACACAGACTTGTCGATTCTCTGTGGCCTCAGAAAAGGAAGTGCAGAAAAGGTTTATGGCAGTCATCAGGTTCAACAAGGGAAAATAAATAGAAAAGTTGGAAAGAACAACAACAGCGTACCAGGATCAGTGAGGAGAGTAAGCCTGTAGAGCCAAAGCAGGACCTAAATAATTGATTTTGTGTTGCTGGAGCTATAGCACAGCGGGTAGGGCATTTGCCTTGCGCGCAGCTGGCCCAGGCGAGCTGGGTTCGATTCCTCTGCCCCTCTCAGAGAGCCTGGCAAACTACTGAGAGTATCTTGCCCGCACGGCAAAGCCTGGCAAGCTACCCATGACGTATTCAATATGCCAAACACAGTAACAACAAGTCTCAAAATGGAGATGTTACTGGGCCCACTCGAGCAAATCGATGAAAAATGGGAGGACAGTGCTACAGTGTATTGCTTGTTACGAATAGTCCACTAAAATGATCCAAAAAAGTTTCTTTAGAAGAAAGTACGTGAAGATTGTTCACACAATCTCACCCTGGAGCCATTATGGCCTTCTATAAGAGATTACTAATATGTTGTTAAAGGTTGAGCCTTGTCTGCTAATACACACACAAATGGGTATATGTGTGTGTGTATGTGTATATATGTACATATATATGTATGTATATTGCTTTTTGGATCACACCCGGCTTTGCACAGGGGTTACTCCTGGCTAATGCACTCAGGAATTACTTCTGGCGGTGCTCGAGGGATCATATGGGATGTTGGGAACTGAACCCTGCTCGGCCACGTGCAAGGCAAATGCCCTACCTGCTGTTCTATCACTCTAGCCCCTATATTTTTTAATAGATATTGGTTGCCATCTACTTTACACCCCATCAAATGTGGTGTGCTATTCTTGGTACGTCAGTAGTATAGAGTATGAGACGTCACACAGCTAGACGTACCAGGAATTTTAAAATTTTAAATAGAGTGATACAGCTGGAGTTAACTTTTTAACTGGATGGTGACTTTGGGGTCCAGAGGCATCTGTTTGGCATGTTGCTCGCTTTCTCTTTTGAGATTTATTTGTGAGTATCTGCATCATGGCCATTAATAAGCTTATATGGAACCAGAGGCAGTTCGTGGGCATGACTGCCAGGCTCCCAGAAGAATAGGGAGATGGAGGAAGGTCATTTGACTCCCGTGCAAGCTTGGAGATTTTGGTCACAAAATCTGCATACACGAGGTTTTCAGCAGATTCACTTATGGATGAGGCTTGTCTGAGCCTGTGGAAATTGGCATGGGGGCGATTGGGTTCTGAAGGTTTTTGGCTGCCAGGGCTCTGTTGGGGCAAGAGGAGGAACTCACCCTGCCCCCGTCCAGGTTGCCCTTGATGAGATAGCCTGGCTCGGCATCCAGCAGCATATCTGTGTCCACTGGGTAACTTTTTAAGTGAAATTGAAAACAGATGTTTTGCAGAACTCCTAAAACATGTCCAGAATCTCAGAACTCTGATGACCCATGCTCTAAAACATTCTGTCAGAGTATCAGCAGAAAATACAAAAGGAAAAATAGAGGCATGCATACTGGAAAAAAGGAACTCACACTGTTGTTTTTCATAAATGCTATGATTGTTTACATAAAAATATTCTTCAGATGAATTGTACAAAATAGAGCTTAGCAAAGAATTGGCTATGACATTAAGAAAAATAATCATTTGCATTTTTCTGCATTTGCAACAAATAACTGGAAAATGCAATTACATGAAAGCACAGTAGTAACAGATAATTTGAAGGACTTAGGAATAAATATCTGCTAAAGATGTCAAAGACCAAGGCTGAAATGATAGCACAGCAGGTAGGGCACTTGCCGGTTCAATCCTTGACACCCCGTATTGTTCCCCGAGCCTGCCAGGAGTTATCCCTGAGCATAGAACCAGGAGTAAACCCTGAGCACCACCAAGTGTGTCCCCCGCCCTCAAAAAGAGAGAAGATATCTAAGACGTCTCCAAGGAAATTTAATACATTTGGAGACTGGGAGGAAAATCTCTAAATAAATTGGAGAGAGACCATGTTTGTGAAAGGAAGGTAATATTATAAAGTTGTCAGTTCTCAGATTGGTCTAGAAATGCAATGCAGTTCCAGTGAATATCACAACTTGAGTTTTTCCATGATGAAGATGGTTCTCATATATTAGAGAATATATGAGAATATATTCTTGTATAATATATATTATGTAATATATATTAGGCTAGAGGGTCAAGTTTAGTCAGATCACTTCTGAAAAAAGAGCCCACAACATTTGCCCTTCCAGAATAAGAACTTTAAGAAGTTCTTAAACTTTAAGAAGTTTAAAGAACTTTAAAGTTTAAGGTTTAAACTTTAAAGTTTAAGAACTTCAAGAAGTTCTCCTGAAGCATGCAGGACTTTTGAAAATATATCACTGTAGCACTGTCCTCCCATTGTTAATCGATTTGCTCGAGTGGGCCCAGTAACGTCTCCATTGTGAGACTTGTTGTTACTGTGTTTGGCATATTGAATATGTCACGGGTAGCTTGCCAGGCTTTGCCGTGCGGATGAGATACTCTTTGTGGCTTGCCGGGCTCTCTGAGAGGGGCGGAGGAATCAAACCTGGCTTGACTGGGCCAGCCACGTGCAAGGCAAACGCCCTACCACTGGGCTATCACTGCACCCCTTTTGAAAATATGAGGGACACAATTAATTGCTCAGTAGAATCAAGTACAGAATCCAAGGATAGCGGCAAAAATGTATGGGACTTCAGCATATAGAAGAGATGACATGTCAAATTCATGAAGAAGCAAGAATGTATTCAGCAAATAGGCAGGAAAAGAGTGGTTATTCCTATGGAAAAGATGAAAGTAAAGCCCTGTAGCCATATTTAAAAATTAGTGCAGCTGTATTAAAGATGTAAATTTTAAAAAATTAACACTATAAAATGTAAGTAGTGGGGCTGGAGTGATAGCACAGCAGGTAGGGCATTTGTCTTGCATGTGACCGACCTGGGTTCGATTCCCAGCATCCCATATGGTCCCCCTAGCACCTCCAGGAGAAAATCCTGAGTGTAGAGCCAAGAGTGACCCCTGTGCATCACCAGGTGTGACCCAAAAAGCAAAAAAATAAATAATTAAATATAAGTAGGTTAGGACCAGAAAGATAGTATAGCAGGTAAGGCATTGCCTTGCATGTGGCTGAGCAGGGTTTGATCCCTGGTACTGTATATGGTACCCAGAGCCCTGCAAGGAATGATTGCTTGAGCACAGAGCCAGGAGTCAGCCCTGAGCATAGCCAGGTGTGGCCCTAAGACAAAAACAGACAAAACCTAAAATAGAAATAGAAAAATTATAGTTGTCAAAAGAAAAAAGAAAAGCACCTGAAAGGTAAAAATGACAAGCTCCAGACTGGGGTAAGATCTTGAAGTACACATAACTGATGAGATATTATTGAAAAAATGTGGGGAGCTATAGTGATAGTACAGCAGGTAGGGCATTTGCCTTACATGCGGCCGACCTGGGTTCTATTCCTCCACCCCTCTCAGAGAGCCCAGCAAGCTACCGAGAGTATTCCGCCTGCACGGCAAAGCCTGGCAAGCTACCCATAACATATTCGATATGCCAAAAACAGTAACAACAATTCTCACAATGGAGACGTTACTGGTGCCCGCTCGCGCAAATCGATGAACAACAGGAGGACAGTGCTACAGTGCTACAGGATTTTTTTAAAGGAGAGTGGTGGGGGGTCTTGGGCATATCAGAGGCCAACAAGTTATAGTAACTGTACATCAGAACCACAAAAGTTAACACTATTGTAACCAAGCTACCGAAATTATATTAAAAATTAGGACCCGATGGCTAGAGAGATAGTATAGTACATAGGATGCTTGTCTTGTACACAGCCGACTTGAGTTCGATCCCTGGCATCACAGTCCTCTGATCACCATCAAGAGTAATTCCTGAGTGCAAAGCCAGGAGTTACACCCTGAGCATTGCCAGTTGTGTCCTACCCAAAAAACCAGGGCCATAGAGATAGTAGAGGGGTTATGTATGTATGCTGCCGACCTGGTTTGATCCCCAGCACCCCATTTTATTTCCCAAGAACCTCCAGGAGTGACCCTGAGATCGGCAGCTGTGCCACCGTCCAAGAACATCAAAATCAAACCATTTTGAAAGGGAAAGAAGGATCTATTGGGACTCTTAAATACTGCTAATGCAGGAGGTGATATGACTCACATGCTAAAGCACATGCCTTGCTTGTGTGAGGATCTGAGTTTGATGCCCAGCTGTCAACAATCCTCAGTGGGGCCCTGATTGCTCTCAGCACCACAACAGCAACCAAAATTACATCTGGCTAATAGTACAATGGTTTAGAATAGCCGCTGTGGAAATCAGTGGCATTATGGAAAGCTCAGCATTCAGATACATCATGACCTGGCAGTGTCATGCCCACATACTTGAGAGAAAGGCTTTCCATGTTCTAAAAGGCATGTATTATTTGTTATTATAGGCTATTTTTAAGGCACTCTCTGGTCCAGAGCAGCTACTCTACTCACTGGTCCCTGAGCTATCTATATACATCATCATCTTTTTGATTGATATGCTGTTGTTAGCTGTAGGGTCACTCCAGATGCTTCTCAGGAGATCTGGCACTGCTGGTGGGGGCCAGGCATTATTGAGGATTGAACCCAAGACGTCGCATGCTCTACCACTTTGCCATATTCCCAGCCCTGTTGACATGTCCCCATCTTCCCTGTAACTTGAAGCCATTGCTCCTGTCCTTCACTTGCCTCTGCTTTGCTCATGATTTTCGTAAACATAGCTCAGGTTTCACCTTGAGCTGATTCTGTAGAATTGGGTATATAGACGTCAGAGAGATTTATATGAAGTTGTACCTGTCTCTTTCTGTTTTTTGGACTGGGGACACACCTGGGTTTGCTCAGGGGTTACTCCTGGCTCTACACTCAGGAATTACTCCTGGTGGTGCTCAGGGGACCACATAAAATGCCAGGGGTAAAACTTGAGTCAGCTGTGTGCAAGACAATCACCCTACTTAGTGTATTATCATCCCCTGTTCTGTTCTTCTTTTTAAGAAAAAAGAGAGGGCTAGTGGAGAGAGTTCAAAGGGCTGGAGTGTAGGGTTTACGTGTAGGAGGCTCAATTTTATCCCCAGCACCACATTGTCAATCAGACAACACCAGAAGAGACCCTTGATCATCAAGCAGGGAGTAGCCCCTAAATAACACAATATGTGACTCCTATACAACCCCCTAAAAAAAGATGAAAATGTGAGACTTGTGTGATACTACAGAGGTTAAGGTACTAGCCTTGCATGTGATCGACTTTGGTTCGATCTCTGGCATCCCTTATGGCCCCTTGAGCACTGTGAGGAGGGATTTCTGAGTGCAGAACCAGGAGAAACCCCTGAGCACTGTCACGTGTGTCCACAAACAAAAAAAAGTATTTTAATAAAAGACTGTTTAGGAATCAAGTGATAGTATAGCGGGGAGGGAGTTGATCTTGCATGATATTGACCTGGGTTTAATCCCCAGCACCCTGTATGGTTCCTCGACACCTGCCAGGAGTGATTTCTGAGCACACAGAAGTAACCTGTGAGCTTCATTATGTGTAGCCCCCAAAAAAGATTATTTAAAGGTGATTACTAGTTTCCTGCTCCCCTTATACACTTCTGATTTAGCCCTTATGCTAAATTCTATTTTTTAGCCACTACTGAATTTTAAGGACATTATATCCAATCACAAAACTCACCCAAAATGTTTTTGTTTGTTTTGGGGCACACTAGGCTGTGCTGTGGGCATATTTCTTGCACAAACTCAGGAGACATATGGGGGTCTACTGTGCAAGGTAAAACACCTTACCCTACGTACTGTCTCTCCAGTCCTCACCCAGAAGTGGTTTTGGCATTGCTATGTTTTTTCCCTTGGTTTTGGGTACAGGTCTGGGGGTGCTCAGCGCTGACTCCTGGCTTTGCACATAGTTATCAATCTTGGGATACCATATGGGAAGCTAGGGATTGAACCCGAGTCAGCTGCATACACGGCAAGTACCCTACCCACTAGGCCCTCACCCAAAAGTTGTAATTGTAGATTTTAGACTTGAATCTTTCACCTGTATGATATATGAGGACCATGAAGAAGTTCCACCTGAGTGATGAAAACTTAAATCTTTTATCTATCCTACTGCCAAGTCCACAAAGGCAAAAGCCACATATCACCTAGGGAGTTTAATAAATTGTCTATTTCTGTATAGTTCTCAAGGTCAAACTTAGACCCTCAGTCTTAGAAATAGTAACCTTGTTTCCGTTGGTAGAAGACCAGAGATCAAGATTTGTGTGCTAAAAACACAGTAGAGGGGCTGGAATGAGAGTACAGTGGGTAAGGTGCTGTGCACGTGGCCAACCCAGGTTCAATCCCCAGCAACCCAGAGCTTCCCTGAGTCCACCCAGGAGCTAGAAGTAAGTTCTGAGCAACACTGGGTATGACCAGTCCCCCAACAAACAACCCCAAACAAGAAAGAAGGAGACAGCAGAGAAATCACAGGATTTCTTGTTCTTTCCCTTTACAAGATGATTGCAGTTTGTCTGAGTTTTAAATAGACTGCTTTGTATGAAGTCAGATTATTGAAATCGTGTTATGAGACTCATTGCTGAGAAATTAAGCCCCACATCAAATTCTCTCCAGGCATCGCCGGATGGAGGCAGTCCGACTGCGGAAAGAAAACCAGATTTACAGTGCTGATGAGAAGCGAGCCCTTGCATCCTTTAACCAAGAGGAGAGGCGCAAGAGAGAAAACAAGATTCTGGCCAGTTTCCGAGAGATGGTATACAGAAAAACGAAAGGAAAAGAGGACAAATAAAGACTTTCGGGTTGTTCAACAGACATTTTTTTTTCTAACAACAAAGTCTGGGTACCTTATTCATTTAAGAAATAAGATCTGAAAACAAAAGCTTTACAGTGCAACTGTGCCTTCTATTTCCTTCTTTCAGTCCTTGAATAAAAAGCTGCTTATGAACTTCACAAGTTCTTTGGGTTATATTAGATTGGACCATTTCTGGTTTAAAACTCAAAATCTCGAAGGAACTTACCACCCCCATCTCAATCTCCCCTCATGGTGGGTAGGATAGGGGTAGTGTTGGTGATGTGAGAAATTTAATTCTCAGATGCATGGCACAAGGCAACTCTTAACTGCCCTCCATGGCCAGTCCCAGACCTCTGGGGTTACCACCTCTCCATGTGGAAAGTGTTGTAGGTGAACTTGATCAAAACCTATAGGACACTGTTTTAGTTACCGAAATGAAGGCATTGCTAAAAACAAACAAACAAACAAACAAAAAATCTGGAATTTGAGACTTAGAGAATACAATGTTTATCTACCCCAGAAGTAATATATTTGCATCCCATTCGCTGCCCATCTCCAAACCAAAAGGCAAACTAACCCACAGACTTGTTGCATGGCAAATGTGAACATTTGTTTTCAAAATTCCTAATCAGTGACTTCAGATCGGTTCTTACAGGCATCAGATAGTGGGAAGTCAACTGCTGTGCCAATGCCAGGCCATTATTTATTTCCCTCTAAGAGAGAGCCATTTAGATCTGTAATATTGAATATTAGAAAAGAAATGGAATCGTGTAAGATCAGAAGTTTAACAGGGAGAAATATAATGAGTAGTTGCTTTACTGTAGTTGTTTTGTAAGGATGAAGGTAAAAGGTCGTTGAATGCTTTTAAGTATGTACTTTATGTAATAAGATATTTGAAGCATTGTTAAACTTTTCCGCTTATTTTGTTTTAAATATTCAGTTCAGTCTTTTACTTTGTATGAAACACTTTCAGTTTATCACATTTTTATGGCTACCATTGACTTTGCAGTTGGGAGACATGGAAACCTCTGGTTCACTGAGAGCATGTTCCTTTTCTTTCTCATATTTTGTAACTTTAGTTGTGGGATCAAAGAGTAAAAGGACTCGGGACAGTATTTTGGCTTTTTGTTCAGGTATTTTGAGCTGCATCTTTGTAATATGCATAGGGTAAATATAAAATACCTGGGGGCGGGTGCATTTTGGCTTCAGTATTATAAGCCCTTTCTTCTCCTGAAGGTATGTAGTTTAAAATAGGTGGAGGGCTAGAGATAGTACAATGGATAGGACACTTGCCTCTCACGTAGTCGACCTGGGTTCAATCCCAGGCACCAGGCCCTGAACCTCACCAGGAGTGGTCCCTGGGTGCAGAGCCAGAGTAAGCCCTGAGCTTACTCGTAAAAATGCCAGCTTTTATCACAAAATCCCCAAAATAAATGAATCAGGCCGGTTGGTTGTTTTGTTGGTCTGTTCAATTTTAACATACGACCATTGTGTTTCTAAGGATAGATCCAAAGTTCCACAGTTTCACATGTGTTCTAGAAAAATGTCAACCTTAAACCCACCACTGACAAGCCAGACAGCTGTTTGGCATCCAGCAGTATGAGACCTCTGAATATGAAGTGATTTCAGTTTCTCCTAATGGCTGCTTCACCTAATGAATACTTCACTTTCGTCAGTTCGAAGGAAACAAGGTCACAAATTGGTGAACCCCAGTTCTCTCCCTCCCTTCCTTGGGTGAGAGAAATCTCAATTTAAAATCATTATTTAAAAGTGTTGTTATCTGAGAACATGTGATTGGGTGTCTGAAGGAGTTGGGTGTTAAATTTTCAGTGGGCAAGGTAGGTTAAGAGCATCTATTTTATATGAGATTTTTTTAGATTATCATTTAATTGTTTCTGTCTCCTTCATGCAATAGATCAAATACTTACTGACTCAGAAAATCAATCATTGGGGCCTGAGAGAAAAAGTACAGTGTGTGGGGCACTTACCTTGCACATAGCAGACCTGGGTTTCCTATGTAACTCCCCATATACCCTTCCCCCAGTGGTGAGATGCCTGAGCACTGCTGGGTGTGGCCCAAGAACAACAGAAAAAGTCCTTTCAGAACATTACCAGTTATTTGATAAGGGTTTATTTAGGAAAGATCTGCTTAAAGAACAGCTTTCGTAGCATATTCTTTGGAAAAGGGAAGGGAAGAATAAAAAGGGCTAAATGCATTTTAGTTTCAGCTCATGAGAATTCCTGTTTTAAACAATGTTTAGATACCTGAGCCATAAGTCACATGGGAGGGCTATTGTATTTGATATCTGTGTCTTTATTCTCTTAAGTTGAATTAGCTAGTTTTTAACAGGCCCCCACCACCACTTTGTCTCTTGCTTTGATAAAACTTTGCCTCCTTATTTATTTATTGCACAGATGTAATGGTTTAAAAAAAGACCCCTTGTCTTTCGTCAATTATTTTTAGTATTCTGTGTTCTCTTCCATTACTAGCCTGAGTAAATAAATGTACCTATAAGTAATAACCTATAAGGTAACTTTGTCTTTGTTATTTTAAAAATGCAGCCAGCCAAGACAGCCTCGCCATGGATGATAGGAACAAGGGACTGAAGATCACATATGAGTGTCAGAGAGACAGGAGAGTGGTTGCACGCAGCAGACCCAGGTTCTATCCCCTATATCCCATATGGTTCGCTGAGAGCCTTTAGGAGTGATCCCTGAGCTTAGAACCAAGACTTAGCCCTGAGCACCATTGGGTTAGCCACTTACCCTGCAAAAGTCAAGTGTGAGGCTGAGAAAAAGACTATAATAAGTAAGGGTAGCCAAGAACCCCCATACCTATGTCATTGTCCTCATCCCCAAGCCACCCTGCCACCATCATGGTTGTGGCACTGTGTTGAGGGGAGTAGCATGTCTACTGTCAGAGGATCAGAAAGGACTGTTGAGCAGTGAGGTTCACTTCCCAGTGGAAGGGGTCTGTGAGCCGGGAACCCTTTTAAACTGATTATATCATGAGCTGTAGAGGTATTGCTGTTTCGCCATTTCCAGTTGCGTTAGTAGATAGGCGTGTCTAGGTTGGACACTCAGCCTTAGCTGGATGACCACGCAGCCAGGGACTAAACTTCTTGTGGTTTTACTGGCAAATGTTTGCAACTGTCTAAACTCAGCTTCTGTAAATGTAAGAGAATAGAGAGCAATTTGCTTATTAAACTAATAATGCCATGGACATCACCAAATGGAAAGTGAATGGATGCGAACCAGAAAATAGTTGGATCATGTGCCACAGTTTATTGCTTAATAAATTTTCTGTCTTTTGACACGCAATTATCTTATTCTTAACATACGGATTATAAATCCAGTCCTGTAACTTAAGATTTTTAGTTATATACATGTCTCGTCTTGGGAACTGATTGCAGTAAAACATATTTTTCAAGAAGTCCCTCAGCTATTTTTTTCAAAATGGCATCGAGTCTGGTCTGCAATAGAAAAAAAACACCAAAGCTTTAAAAATAAAACATTAGGGCTGGAACAATAGCACAGTGGGTAGGGCGTTTGCCTTGCATGTGGCCAACCCGGGTTTGATTCCCAGCATCCCATATGGTCCCCTGAGCACCGCCAGGAGTATTTCCTGAGTGCAGAGCCAGGAATAACCCCTGTGCATCGCCAAGTATGACCCAAAAAGAAAAAAAAAAACCATTAAAACATTAAGGGGTGATAGTAAGGTACTTGCCTTGTGCACAGCTGGTTCCATCTCTGGCACCCATATGGTCCCCTGGGTCTACCACGAGTGATGCCAGAGCACAGATCCGGGAATAACCCCGAACACCGCCAGATCTAGCTAAAAATCAAACCACAAAGTAATAAAAACATAAATAAAATTTTTCTCTCAGGTAGGGATGATTGAACAGTGGTGAAGGCGCTTGCCTTGCATGCAACCAACCCTAGCTCTATTCTTGGCACCACGTATAGTCTCCTGAGCAGCACCAGGTATAACCCCAGCCCTTTGCCTCCCATAATAGCACTGTAGCACTGTCGTTCCTTTGTTCATCGATTTGCTCAAGCGGGCACCAGTAACGTCTCCATTATGAGACTTGTTACTGTTTTTGGCATAGAATACGCCACGGGGAGCTTGCCAGGCTTTGCCGTGCGGGCGGGGTACTCTTGGTAGCTTGCTGGGCTCTCCAAGAGGGGCGGAGGAATCAAACCTGGGTCAGCCTCATGCAAGGCAAACGCCCTATTCACTGTGCTATCACTCCAGCCCATAATAATAAAAAATTGTGTTGTATTGGTTCCTATTTCTTTGCAGTGAGGAAAATGCCTTTTGGGATAGGAGGCAAAGTTCATTTGCTCTCTATTATTTTTTAAGTTCAACTAGTAAAATGACTAGCAAGGTTAAGTGAAAAATACTTTGATAGAGCTGTTCTACAAGTACAAGGGATTATTATACATGAGTTATTAAGTGGTTCTGACATTTCCCATAAAAAACATCAGATATGCTGTCGGTCATCCTACCGTAGCTCTTGCCCCTAATCTGGCAACTAGTTTTCAACTTTCACATCACTAGAATGTGAGACACATTGTTTTCTCCTAAATTATGATATAGTTCTCCTTTCAGCCCATTCTCTTGATGTAAGTGGTCAAAGAAAAGTGAGGGGCTAGAGTGATGGTACAGTAAGTTAGACATTTCTCTTGGATGCGACTGACCCAGGTGCTGGAAATTCCAGCACCTCATATGGTCCCCTGAGTTCCATCAGGGGTAATTCCTGTATACAGAGTCTGGAGTACCCCTGGGCAAAGGTGTGCCACCCTCTCCAAAAGAACAATAAGAAGATGATGAGTGACTGTTGTTTGAATTAGCCCCAGCTTTGGATCCATGGAGTAAGATGGCCTTCCCACCACCTTTGTTAAATGAGTTTCCAAATGTTCATTACTTTTAAATGAGTGACTGATGATTCATTTTATAATATGTATCAATGGGTACTTACTTACTGCAAGAAGAAAAGACAACTGTTAAACTAATGATTTTCTCATGCCTGCTTCCCTCTATATTTTTCTGTATGTATACTCTGAAGTCTCTAGATTCTTCCTTTTGAATTGGTAGTATCCAGGTAGTAAGTTGCAGCTCTTTATTTGTTAATGTTAATGTCTTTTCCCCAGAAGATCTTTATTGACAAGAAATAATGTTAGAATTCTTCATAGGAGCCTGAGCAGTACTACAAGTGGGTAGGGCACGTGCCTTGCACAAGACTGACCCTGATTTGATCCCTGACATCCCATGTGGTCTGAGGAGCACGGCCAGGAAAAATTCCTGAGTGCAGAGCCAGGAGTAAGCCCTAAGCATCTCCAGGTATGCCCCAGGAACAACAACAACAATAAAAGAATCTCCATAAGGCCTAGGGATGTGGTTCAATAGTAGAACACATGCCTCACATGTGTGAGGCCCTGGGGTTGTCCCCACCCTAAACTACAAAATAGAAAAAAAATCATTTGAAATAAAGGAAAGATGGGGGTCATAGCAATAATTCAGTGGTAGGGGGCTTTCTTTGCACACAGCCTGAGTTCGATCCCTGGCATCCTGTATGGACCCCCAGCCCTGTTAGGAATAATTTCTGAGTACAGAGCCAGTGTAACTCCTGAGCACTGCCAGGTGTGGTCCCACTACCAAAATAAGGGGATCAGAGCATTTGAAATAGTGCCCTAGGAAGAGTTTCCTGAAAGGAGGCGAAACTAGTAGGGTTCGAAGGAGGAATGGTCCTTGAGGCAGGAGGAAAACTGGAGAAGGAAGTTGTTCCAGCAATTATAGGCAACAATTTGTGGAGGAAGGAATTTTTCTCTATGTACAGGCTGCCCCGAAGGAAGGACCAAACTTATCAATTCCATGTTACAAGAAGGGCTCCTTAATGAAACTGCCAAGAGAGATCCCCTACCCACCACCATGTTACCTGCCTCTATTTCCCAAGGAAGAATTTATCAGAGGTTTGTTTTTGTTGAATGGTTGGTGAAGTCCATTGAAGTTTGGACTTTAAGGTTGAGTATCTGAGCAGTCGGGGTGCTCCAGTATGCACAGTAGAGGTAGAGAAAGCCGTGGCCCAAGTAATTTCCCCCTGGAATTCTGTATAACGCATCTAAGTTGTGCTTCTGCATCTGTCTCAGAGACAGAAAACACTTCGACAAGAGAGGCAGGCTTTTGTTCCAGTCCTCCAGTCCAATGTTTGACAAAGATGGGAAGGCAGGCTATTTCCAGGGGGTCACAGGTGGCAGTCACATCAAGTGGTGGGGGTGAGGCAGGGCCATAAAGATTGTATGGCAAGTAAGGTGTTTACTGTACTATCAAGGTGCTTGCTGTACTACCAAGCCCTTCCTTAGGAGCCAAGTGTGAACTACTGGGAAATAGTAAAAAGTGTTGTCAACAGAGAATGGAGCGACAGCAAGTAAGGCATTTCACTTGTACGTGGTTGACCTGAGTTCAATCTCTATCATCCTGGATAGTTTCCTGATCCAGCCGAAGTGATCCCTAAGTGCATAGCCAGGAGTATGCCCTGAGCATCACCAGGTGTGGTCCTCAATCCAAAAAGTAATGACTACATATGTTCTGCTCACTCCACTGGAGAAATCCCTGCGGTGTCACTAGAAAGTTAGTGAGGCAAATTCCCTAAGTTATTTATGAAACTCAGCCCAGTACTCAACACCCCTCAGAGTGGCCAGAGGTGGTAAATAAAGTCAGAAAAGGAAAGAGTTGGGAAATAAAATGGACCAGATCCCTCATATTTCCTCTCCACACCTTTCGAGAAGGTTCCACTGGCAATTCACAGTTATTAATGTCTAGGCCCTCAGAAGGCCTGAAGTAGCTCTGAGCTCTTGCACTGGATTTTGAATGCTATAGATATTCATCAAGTTCAGTTCAAGTCAATGTCCTTGAGTTGGTTTTTTGTGACGGAAACTTCTGGACTAAAAGAGGAAAGCAAAACAATACAAACAAAAGGAGGAAAATGGGTCCAGAGAGAGTATAGGAGTTAAGTACCTACCTTGCACACATGCGACCCCAGTTATATCCCTGCATACGGTCCCCTGAGCACAGAGTCAGGAGTAAGATTTGGGTACATCCAGGTGTGTCCAATCTCCCCCTCTTAATCTCTACCCACACCAAATAAAATACAACCCCAATAAGAGAAAAACATAAAGTCAACCCTGTGCCCAGTGATTGCTCCAGCTGGTGTTCAGAGGATCATGTGAAGCATTAGGGACTTAAATGGGATCGGCCACATGCAGGGCAGCACCTCTCCACTGTGCCATCTCTCTGGCCCCTTGCTTCATTTTAGCACTCTGAAGATGTCTTGGTAACTCCAGTGTGTGTGATTTGGAGCTCCAAATGTAGGGAACTCAAAATCCTGGTAGGTGATAGGTTAGTTTGTTTGGGGCCACTCTGAGCTCTATCAGAGCTTACTCCTGGCACTGTGCTCAGGGTTCACTCATGGCAAAACTCAAAGGACACAGTGCAGTCTTGGGACTTGACTAGGGTTTGGTTT